TCGGAAAGTGGCATTTTTTGCAACAACTTTGCGACGTTTCATGAATCCCACTATTATTTAAAAGTACATAATTAAATATTGGCGTGAAATATTTTTCTACAGTATTTTTCATGTATATACATATGTATGTATTCATGTATGTATGTACAGTAGAGTGGTTCAAAAGAATTTTTTATTTTTTTAATTCATAAACGCTACCTCAAATTATTGTTATTTGTGATAAACAAAGAGGCACGTATTTTTTAATTAAAAAAAAAGTTTTTTTAGAGGTCACGCTGTTCAGGATGTTTCGGTTTTCTTCTATATAAAAATAAATTGTGTATAGCAAATGGGACAAACAAAATTCTAAAAAATCAACCCTAAGTTTTACGCATTTGAAACTTGTACTTTGTTCTACTGGAATTCAATGGGCTACAAACCTGCATACTCAGAATCTTTCTGGGAAATCTAATTAAAAAGGTTAGGAATTTTTACGAAAGTTTTTTGATTTTTTTCTTTAATATTGCACAAAGTTTGAAACTTGTTTTTTTTTTATAAAAAAAAAATTGCCAAAATTAAATAACAACAATAATAATATGTTACAACTTGTCAAAATATGGTGCGACTATAATTAGTGCCAATAAAAATTTTAATATTGGAATTTTTCTTTCGCAAATCGTCGTCATCTTATAATCAATGTAATTTTTTTTTCACTTGGTGGCACACTATGTTTATTACCCTAGATAGGTTCGTTTTCGCAAGAAGAACATTTTTTTTTCGGTTAAAAATTCGTTAAATTTCAAATATTTCAAAGTGGGTGCGGCAGATATTCTGCGTGCTGCCATTTTTTTTTTTGTTTTTGGTGGCACACTTTTGAAACTTCAGAGTTATGCTATATTTTATGCCAACTTTCATGGCCTCTAATATAAGCATTATATTTGAAAACTTCCCAAAGTTATTAAAAAAAAACACAGTTATTTTTTTTTCGAGTGACAATGAAGAAATTAGTAATTTGGGTAGGGACACTAATAAAAACAACTCGTTAGATTTGTTCATATGCGCAGACTATAAGACAACTAAAGTGTAGTGATGCATAGAACCGAGAAACCGGAACCGGAGAAGCCGGAATATATTTTTTATATACTTATTTATTTTTTATTTTTTTGTTTATATTTTATTCAATGTATATATATTTATTTATTTTCTTTACTTTCTTAACTTTACTTTATAACAAAAATATGAAGAAAAAATTGAATTTTTGCAAAAACTTTTTAAAATCTTTTGTTAAGCTATTTCGATGCGGCTTTTTTGTGTTACCACTTTTTTGAGAGCCGGAACCTACTACACTACTTAAGTGGCCTGAAACTAAATTTTTTAGAAAATTTGGAATAAAATGCTATTAAAATATGCAGAGCTACATGCGATTTTCCATCGAATCTTAAATACACAAAACTCCTTCCCCACTTGACACTTTCTAGCTTAACGGTCGTAGCATGAACTTAGCGCATGTTTTCTTCTAAATAGTAACTCGTGATACGAATCTAGTAAAAACATTTACACCTTTGTATGCCAGACGCCAAATTCAGCTGTGTAATCAGCACAAGTTTCGAGGCAAATTTGTGCAGACAGATTGTTTTGTCTTTTATAAATTACACAAGTTAACAGAAATCAAAAAAAAAAAAAAATCAGACCTGTGATAGTTTTATATAAATTCTAACGTAATATTTTCCGCTGAACCCAAATACCAAATCATAATATAAGAAAGTAGTACAGTTTTTGTGCCGATTTTTCTGAGATCTGAAACAAAGAGCACTCACTTAATTAAAATTTAATGTTTTTTTACATTTCAATATTTGCCAACTAAATTCAAATAAATTGCTGAATTAAGCGAGAAGCACCTTTTTTGAGTTCTCAAAAGCGGATATTTGGCTTTACGTCAAAATCTGCTACACCTTATTCTATTTTGGCTTCATATTCGGACTGAGCGGAAAATTCTAAATCAGAAATTATGTTTAGATACCACAGGTCCAAATTTTTTGTTGACTTGTGTAATATTTTAGTTTTTCATTGGGCCTATTGTTATACAAACAGCGCCGGGGTACTTTTA